AGGAATAACTTTATTTTTAATAGTTATTCTATCCAGCCACAGATTCTTATTCAAACATTTTTGCTGATTTTTAGGCTTTTGTTGGCAACCAGAGTAACCTAGCTGGTACCTTTTTAAGCAGGTCACTCATCAACCTAGAGTAAAATGGTCTCCTCCCCTACTCATCAATGGAAGCTTAATGTTGATAGTGCTGTTTCCAAGATTAATAGAGCTGCTGCTTGTGGAGACGTAATAAGAGATGATAAAAAAAAAAAAGGTTCACAAAATTACTACCAAACAAGTGATCAACTTGTTATTTAGAGTTAGTTTTAGTTTAACCTATAATTTTAAGTTCAAATATCAGTAAATATAATTATTTTAAATATTTAGAAGAATCTCATTTTTAATAATTTATTAAATTTAAATTAAATATAACAACGACATATATTATCAATTACCGTAAGAAAGTTTAGGCTTTAGGTCTTACAGCAGCATCACCATCATATTTGTTCTTTTCTCCAAAAATAAATTTTCATTTTAATTATTTTCAAAAATTAACAAAAGAATAAGTTGATAATTTTTATATAATTATGTAGAATTAGACATTGCATAATAACAAAAAAACTTTCTAGCAGTCTAAACTTTCATACGTCCATTTAGAGTGTACAATTATGACTTATTTGAGCAAAAGTAATTTTATAAAACAAAATTTAAAAGGTGTGCCTAATCATAAAAAAAATAATTAATATTATTATGATAAAATAGTTTAATATTAATAATTTCTGTTTCTGTATAGTTGATTTCAGATTTTGGAATTTCGTTTTCATCGATTGATTAATTAATTGTATTTTATAACATTTGGATTGATGTTTATAAAAAATATTACAATATTTAATAATACATAAATTCAAAATAATTTTTTAATTTAAAAATATAAGACCTTAATTATATCATCACTGCACACACAGACTCTCGCACGAGGTACGGATTATATCTTATATGAATTGCACATATGTCTCTATGTCTCATATAAAATACACGAACATATAACATAATATTCAACCATAAATACTAAGTAACGTCTTAAACTTCGTTTAGGAATTATAGATAAGAAGTCAAGATAATAAAATCATTTTTGAAAGTGGCTTGTAGTAAAATTTTTAGGAAGATCAATTGTATATATGAATTGAATTAATGAAATTTTAACATGTATTATTAATTTTATTTAGAGTTATAATGAGTTAGAGTATCTTTTGTATTCTAAATTTATCTTTAATAAAATATTGATGTTTAATAAAATAATAATAATAATAATAATAAAATTTTCAAAAATGGTATCAATACTGTAATTAATCATATTTTTAATTGTGTACTCTTTTTTACCAGTACATGGCTAGAATCCATTCTCTAGATAGCCTCATGATATTTATCGCAACCAAAACGAGTGAGGAATTTGAAAAGAATTTGGCCGTAAAATAAAAGAGAAAGAAAAGAATTTACAAACTAAACATAGAGAATAAAGTAACTTCAGTTTTTTAATTATGCGCCATATAATTGTACTTCTCCATTCAAGAAAACTTCTTAAATAAGGAGAGTTTGCTATAAAAAATTTCATGTGTTAATTATGTTAAAACTTAAAAAATTTAAAAAACTATCCGTCCTAAAAGACACTATGGATTATTCTGAGCATTTTTAATAGTCATTCCTTAAGAATCGCTTATTTACTATACGCTTTTCCAAAATAAAATAAAATCATGTCAATCATTGGCCATACAACTTGAAAGAACCATGAATCTAAATTTTTGGACGAATCTACTGTATACTTTGTTGACAATATCAAAAGCTAGGGAATTAGATACAACTTTTGAAAGTTGAGAATAAAGAACAGCATACACATATCTATTTGCCTACACATATATATCCCAGGCACCTACCCATTTCAATCTTGTGTTTGTGCCATTACCTGTGAGTTTACCCAACAGAGAGAGCAATGTCAACATACCCCAATGATCATCTTGACTTCAACAAGAAGGTTGTTTATGAGAAAGAAGAGATTGAGGGACCCCACCTCCACCACCTCCACCACCTCTTTCACAAGCATCACCACCCAGAGACTCGTGAAAGTGTTAAAGTTGTAGAGTATGAGCAAATACCTGAGAGTCATGTTGGTGAAGTTGTCTACCAAGAGGAGGTGGATGTTGAAACCAATCAATACTACCCAAGGAACAGGCCAGGGTGCCCTTGAATTGCATAAATGGAACATCTACAAGGGCTGGACTTGTTATCATGTGCCTATTTTGCTAGCCTCGCTATCTATTAATCTATCAAATAACCATGCACGTACTGTGCTTGTATTAAATAAGTTCCAGCTTGGCTAGCCATTATGTTATAAATCATATATCATTTACTACTAAAACTACGTTAATATATATAATGCGTGTGTATAAAATAGCATGTTGTACATTATTGTTTATTCAAACTTTGAGTTTATTAAAAATCACCATATGTATGGCTTTAATTATGAGTATTATAGAATACAATTATTTTTAATGATATGGTGATCGATTATCAGATGAAATTTTTGTATCTCAATTAAATTATATTACTTTACCTGTTGTGTGGCGCAGAGGATCTTGATCCTCGTGGATCCTACAAATTAAATATAATAGAAATTCAAGTAGTGTCACCTAAACTCTTCTCCCCGCATGAAATTGCAATGAATTTTCAAAACTTGAAGTTTGGAAACTTGCAAATATTTAGTAGTCCTACTAGTTAAAAACACATCTCAATGAAAACTAGAAACAGATTTCTAAAAACTTGTCATTCAAATTTTGAATAACATCCTGAATGCAAGAGTATTAGAGTATTATAAAAGTTAAATTTGAGATTAAGAATTTGAATGAAAGTTATTTCTTCCCATGATAACTAAAGATAAGAACAATCCTAAAGACGTACAAATCGAATCGACATAATTAAAGGTAGACTTAAACAAAATAATTGATGTAGAAGTGACTTTAGTTACCTTAAAAAGCAGCCTTGCCACATATATACCCATCAATATCAAAATTTCATATCTACGGAGACAAATGAGAGCGATAGAGGGTGGAGAGAACAAAGGTGAATGAGGGGAACCGCACAGTGATAGGGACTCAGGACTAAGAAACAGGGTTAGCAATGAGGTGAGTTGTTTCCAAATTATTTGAGGATAATTCGTTAAATGGTGGATTAAGGTTATTTATTTAGTTAATTAAATAAATTTAAATTTAATTTTAATTATTTAAATAAAATAAATTCAAATTTTGTAAGCTTAACATTAATAATTTGTAAATAGTTTATATATATTTTTATTATATTTACTTAAAATTTATAACTTTGATTCTTATAATCTTTTATGCACACATAATTTACTTAATTTTAATTTTTAAGAGTTATAATGTAAATAAATTATCACAATTTTTTAAAAATAAATATACCATTTTCACAATAAAAACTTTATTTTTGACTTTAGAACATGTTCTTATGATAAAATTATATCTTATTACTATTGTATTTTACTTTTTATCGTAAAAATATATTAAATACTAAATTTTAAAATATTTTTTTGAATAAATAAATTAACGAGTTAAGTTTAAATTTAAAAAAAAAATTCATAACTCAAGCTTAAACTCTTCATACTCAATTAAACTTGACTTATTTATTCTTTATTAAGGACCAGAAGAATAGCCCATCTTGTACTTCTAATTCATCTAATTATAAATTCCAAACCTTTTATTTCTACAAATTTGTTACAAAATTGAAGTTTGACACACCATATCAAATTAAAATTTAATTCACATAATTTAGTTTTACCACTAATTATTCAATTTCGTATGTCTCATTTTCTTCAATCTATTCTTATATAGTAAAATCAAATATTCATTTTTTAATAACGAGTACATCTCTTACTATTCTATTCTTCTTTACATGTTTGAGAATCTAAATATATTTCCATTCTATATTTTTTAAATCTATATTGTAAAATGTTGTCTCAATTTGAAAATACTTATATATGAGAAATTTATTAGTATATATTAAAAAAAAAAAATCTGGTCCTCCCTTGTTGGAATATATATGACAAGGCAATATGAAGCAATATAAATATAAATATATATATATATATATATATATATATATACACACACACAATAAATAAAAATAACTTAGCTATTTTTAAACCTTAAATTTAAATTTTAATGTACATATCAACCTTGATAATGTATTTCGAATATATCATTTCTATTATAAATATCATGTTCTAAGTAACAATACGTGAATAATATGGTGATGATAGTCAATGGAATTATCATTTTTTTTTATAATTGCATCATGTAAGAGAATAAGATATTTCATTAATTTTCATAATAACACACGGTTTAAGTAATAAAGGTCTCTATGCCTCATGTAAAATACATAAATATGCAACATAGTATTGAACTATAAAATGTTAAGTGACGTCTTAAACTTTGTCTGGGAATCATAGATGTGAACTCAACTTCATGAACTCTTTGTAAAGGTATCAATCGTACGCGGAGTCATATTTTTGGTGGTGAAATCTGGCGTTCATGACTACATTTCCTGACGCGTAGCTAGAATTTTATACTCTAGAAGGCTTTATGATATTTGTTTTTTCATGTAAGAAGGCATCGTGTAATTATCCAATATGCACGACGAATTTGAAAAGAATTTGTAAACTGAACTTTAGAGAATAAAGTAATTATATTGAGTTATGCACATATTCTCAAGTTTTAATTGTGTTAAAAACTTAAAAATATATTTATCACTAAAAATTCTTAATATATCAATTATTATTTTGTGCATTTTTAATAGTCGTTCCTCAAGAATCACCTCTTCATTATATTTTATTGGGAAAAACAACCATATAATATTTTGATTTGTCAAAATCAAAGTTGGGGAATTAGATTCAACTCTTATCTATTTGCCTATATATATGTATCTCACCTACCAATTTCAGTTGTGCTTGTGCCATTACCTGTGAGTTTATCCAACACAAAGAGCAATGTCGACATACCCTTACGACCCCAACATTTCAGAAGTTCGAAGGGAGAGTATTGAATACTCCAATGCTCAACTTGAGGAACCCCACCACCACCACCACCTTCACAAGCATCACCACCCAGAGACTCGTGAAAGGGTTGAAGTTGTAGAGTATGATCAAGCACCTGAGAATCGTTTTGGTGTTGTCTACAAAGAGGACATGGATGTTGAAACCAATCAATACTACACTCGAAGGAACAGGCCAGGGTGGCCTTGAATTGCATAAATTGGACTTGTTATCATGTGGCTATTTTGCTAGGCAGGCTACCTAGTATATTAATAACCAGTGTGCTTGTATTAAATAAATTCCTGCTTAGCTAACCATATATTATGTTATAAAATCAGATATCATTTGTTAATAAAACTATGTTGGTATATTTTTAGTGTGCATATGTGTGTGTAAAATAGCATGTGATAGTTTATTGTTTATTCCAACTTTACTTCTTGTGTGTAACTTAGGATCATATATATTCACCCTAACCGTTCACGGATAATTAATTACGCCATAATATAATATTATAATTATTAATAATAAAATAAAAAATAATTTTGTTAAACTTCTAGGCTTAAAAAAATACATAGTCTTTAAAAATATACTTTTTTAAAAAAGAAATTAGTCCTTATAATTTTTTTTTGGTTGAATTTAGTTTTATAATTTAATTTTATAAATAGAATCGTCAAGTGATAACTAAATAAATTGTGTTTTACGTTATATCAAGGTTCATTCAATGGTGAAGGTGACGAGCGAGGAGCATAAAGAAACTAAAGATGATCAAAGAGAAATAAAGAAAGATACTAGATGAAATATTATTCATTGATCGTAAAGGAAAAAATACAAAATTATATATAACCTTAAGAAAATAATAGAACAGAAAAAAAAAAAAAAACTAATGTACACAAGCTAACAGCTAAACAGATTTAAAACTAACAGCTAACAAATAAGAAACTAATTAACAACTTAAATAAAAATAAAAAATAATAAAAATACAATGGTATATTGTAATAGCCCCTCTCAAGTTGGACGACAAATGTTTTTGAGAGCCAACTTGCTTGTTTGATCTTCAAACTTATGTCTTGGGAGAGCTTTTGTAAATATATCTACTATTTGTTGATGTATCTTTACATGGATAAGTCTTATGAAACCGGATTTAACGTGTTCTCTAACAAAATGGACATCAATGTCGATGTGTTTTGATCTTTGATGAGAAATAGGGTTAGTTGACAAATATATGACTGAAATATTGTCAGATAACACCATTACCATTTGAGGTTGATTCTGGAAGAATCTAAGAAGCTATTTAAGCCATAATAATTCTAAAGTGATAGAAGCAATTGCTCTATACTCAGCTTCTACTGAAAATCTAGATATAGTAGCTTGCCATTCTAATTTTTATGTTAGAATGTCTGCATCTACATATTCACTCAGATTTAACTTAGATTGCGAAGAGAAAAAAATACCTTGCCCAGGAGTTGCCTTTAAGTATCTCAAAACATGATGGACAACTTGAAGGTGTGGTGTCCAGGGTTGGCTCATGAATTGACTCAGCTTATTTACTGCAAAACAAACATCAAGTCTAGATATGCTTATGTACATGAGTCTTTCGAGCAACCTTCTATAAGCAGAAGGGTCTTGAAGTGGGTCACCATCAGTTGGGTTGAAATGCTGATTTGGATCTATTGGAACAACAAGTTTTGCATTGCTGAAACCTGTGTCTTCTAAGAGTTGAAGAGTATACTTCCTCTGGCATAAGTGAATGCCTTGATTTGACTTAGCAATTTCCAATTCAAGGAAGTATTTGAGATCTCCTACAATGTAAAGTTTAAATAAATTTTGAAGTAGGGTTTGACACTTGTGCAAAGAATCTGTATTTGTCCTGTAGTATGATGTCATCTACATATACTAGCAGGTAAACTATGTTGTTTCCACTACCAAAACTGAAGAGAGAGTAATCACTTATGCACTAAATAAAGCCATGAGATTTCAAGGATGTAAAGAATCTCTTAAACCACTGTCTTGAGGCTTGCTTTAGACCATATAAGGACTTATTCAGCTTGCACACAAGATTACCTTGATCCTGTTGATTTATTTTGTAACCTTATGGTATCATCATATAAACCTTTTCACTCAGATATCCATTCAAGAAATCATTTTGGACATCCACTTGAATGAAAGACCATTTCTTAATGGCTATTAACGATAAAAAGACTCTAACAATAGTTATAGTGGCCACAGGTGAGAAAGTGTCTTTTGGCTAGAGTGCCATCAACATTGTATTTTACCTTATAGATCCATTTACAACTTATAACCTTTTTTCCTTTCGGTAATGGTACAATATCCCATGTGTTGTTGACATTCATAGCTTCTAATTTCGTTGCCATCACTTCTCTCCATTCAGGGAATCTAACAGCCTAATAGTAGTAAGTTGGCTTATAGACATTGCTGATTTGCATAGTGAAATCTTTGTGTTAAGTTGACAAGGTGTCATAGGAAATGAAGTTTTGTATGGAGTGTGAGGACTTGAGGTTGGGAATGGAGACTTGGTAATCATTAAGATATGATGAAAGGTTGGTTTGTCTGGATGATCTTCTTGTAGTATTATGTGTCTATGGAGTTGGATTCGAAGTGTGGGCAGTTTGCTCAGTTTCATCTGGAAACTGTGTAGAAGCATCTTGATTTACATTGAAGTTTTGCTCATGAATTTCCTGCTTAGTAGGGTGATCTGCTACTAGTTTAGGAATGGCAGTGTGGCTAAAAAAATCTTGATTCTGATTGAGGGTTGATGGAGATGTATTCTGTTGAAGGACAAAAGGCATGATTTCTTTGTGGAAGAAAACATTCCGAGAAACTATAATCTTTTTAGTTTCAAGGGTGTAAATTTTTTATCCTTTTACTTTTGGAGGATAACCAATGAACACAATGGCTTTTGCTTTTGGATTGAACTTATGCCTTTCATGCTTCTGTGTGTTGGCATAACATAAAGAACCAAAGACTTTGAAATTGTTGTAGTTAGGTTGTTTGTTATAAAGGAATTGATAAGGGTTGTGCTTCTATAGAACAGGTGTAGAGATTCTATTTATGATGTATGTAGCAGTCAAAATACAATTTCCCTAAAACTCTATTGGAACTTTAGACTGAAACATCATGAATCTTGCCACATTTAAAATATGTTGATGTTTCCTTTCAGCTCTTGAATTTTGTTCTGGTGTGTAGGGACATGAAAACTGATGCAATGTTCCTTCATTAACTAAAAAATTAGTTAATAAAAATTCCTTAGTATTATCACTTCTCAAACATTTTATAGATTTATCAAACTAAGTTTTAACAAGTTTGAAAAATTTTTATATACAAACAGAAGTTTGATCTTTGGATTCCAAAAGAAAAATCCATGTAAATATGTTGTGATCATCAACAAGAGTGAGAAAGAACCTCTAATTGTCATGAGTGGTAGTATGAAAAAGTCCCCAAATATCACAATGAACTAAGTCAAAACAATTATCAGACAAGTTGTTATTGCTATGAAAAGGAAGACATTTTTGTTTAGCTAAAGGACATATACAACAATCTTTGCATGAAAAATTACTAGGCAAGTGCAAACTCTTATTAGCATAAATCATTCTAAGTACATCATTAGATAAATGGCCGAATCTGTAGTGCCATTTGGTTACAATAGTAGTCGTATCATTATTATTACTAACAGTTGCAACAGTAGGATATCAAGAAGGCAAGAAAAAACTAGAAGACTTATTGGTTAGACTTTTAAGAATGTTGAGGCCATTTAGGATGCTACCTTTGCCAATCACCCTTGAATTTTGGTGATCCTGTATGGTAAAAGAAGAATGATAAAAAAAGAATCATCTTCCTAGTAAACTGAGTTAGGGAATTTACAAATATAAAATTTACTTTAAAGTCAAGTATAAACAAGACTTTGTAAAGAATGACATTGTTACTCAATTTAACAGTGTCAATGGCTTTTACTTCAACAACACTTCTAGTGGGAAAGTTGATAGACGATTGTTGAGTCGCTATCAAAACAATTAAGTTTTTTAAAGATTTTGTAGTATAGAGTCAAACCTAGGTTGATTCATGGAGACACATTCTCAGTCAGATTCAATTTTAGGTTTTCTTTTAAAAAATGCAAATAAGGATTTTGGTGTTTTGAAAATTGCAATTAATCAAATTAAATTACAAACAGAATTAAAGTGAGTAAAAAAAATAAATTAAAAAACATCAATTCACAGAATACTAATTGTGTGTAACTCTGACTATCACAGTATCTAAAGATTTAAATTCACATTTGAACAATCACCAAATTCAATTATTAATTCAATCGAACAACCTAATTAAATAGAGTTACGAATTAAATCAAATAATCATTTAGCCTAATTTGTATTAATTAGCAAATTAGAGCATTAATCGAGTCCTAATTTGAAATCTAACAACAAAAAAGTCAATAACGATCGCAATAAACAATTCTGAGATTAGAGAGAAAAAGAAAACAAACTCGGAGCAATTAGTACATAACTTAAGTCAGAATTACAATGTTTGGATTCTACAGATTGAACGAGAGGTTTAGTCTTCTATCAAAACGCTTAACCCACGCAAGAATGAGATAAGTACAAGAGAGTTCGAGAAAAAGTAAAAATAAGGATTCTTATTTCGGCCAAATCTCAAAAGCTCAAAGTGTCTAATCATCTCCTCTAATTCAAAACCTTATTAATCTATTTATAGGTTCTGATTAGGGTAAATTAAGTGGCCAAAATGTGGGCTTCAATAATATCTAAAAGCCCAAATACAATTATTAAATAACAAGGGTCTAAATGCAATCCCGCAACAATATTCAGCAAATCTATCTCAACTTAAAAAAATCATAAAAAATAAAAAAACAATTCCAAATCCAACGATCCATATATGCATTTTGAAGCCCTGGTGTGTAAAATCTAATGCAACTGAAATCAGGCAAAAATGATATCTATAAAAAAAAAGATGGTCAAAAGAGTAGTTAGAGGTCAAAATAATCGAAAATACAAAATTAAAGCATTTATTTGTAATAGGCTCAATTTATTCAAATAAGTAGAAAATGGTAAAAACTATAAAAATAAAGCATATAAAAGTGTTTATTAATCAACATAAAACATTAAATATAAACATAAAATATGTTACATCAAAGGTAAACAAATTAATTTTCTAAATTGCTATAGCAGACAAAATTATCTATAGAACATGTAATATGTGTAGTAGCCCCAAAGTCTACTATCCAGATTGAAGAATTTCCTTTGTTTGGATATGTAGTGAAGGCCAAGTTCTTGAAAAAAGAAAAACTCAACTCA